AAATAAGGCCTCACTATGATGTCAGGCTGGTCTTGAACTCCTGAGCTCAAGCGATCCTCCTGCCTCGGCCTTCCAAAGTGTTTGGATTACAGGTGTGAGCCACTGTGCCACACATATAGTAAACAATTTTTAAAAATTAATTTGACCATTTAAGTAGCTTATTCTAAGTGACCCATATTTTATGCTACCTTTTGAGATATGTAGATTTATTTTAGGAAATGTTAAGTTATAATTGTGATACCAAAGCTTTGTAAAGGGTTAGCAACCCCAGAGCATGAATTATGTAGAAGAATATAACTACAAGTTTTCAGCGGTTTGAAACAAGAGTAATACAAATAGGGTGCAAATCCAGCCCCTCTCAGCCCCAGAATTCTGAGAGTATTTAAGGGTAAAGGTTAACTTTCATTTCAAATAAAATACAACAGTCACTTTTTTTTTTTTTTTTTTTTTTTTTTTGAGACAGAGTCTTACTCTGTCACCCAGGCAGAGTGCAGTGGTGCAATCTTAGCTCTCTGTAACCACTGTGAGCTTCAGCCATCTTCCCGCCTCAGCCTCCTGAGTAGCTGGGACTACAGGCACATGCCACAAAGCCTGGCTAATTTTTGTATTTTTTGTAGAGATAAGGTCTCACTATGTTGCCCAGGCTATTCTTGAACTCCTGGGCTCAAGCGATCTGTCAGCTTTGGCCTCCCAAAGTGCTGGGATTACGGGTATAAGCCATCGTACCTGGCATAGTCACTTTTTTTTAATGTGCAGAAGAATCTTTAACAAAATAGAACCAAAGCACTACAAGGAAATTTGAAGCTCATCTACTCTAAATTTTCTCATTTATAGAAAAGGAAATTAAGGCTCAGATAGGTTGAATGAACTGTCCAAGGTCCCACAGAAGAGACAGAGCCAAGGAAGAATCAGGGCTGCTAAGACTCTGATTCAATCCTGTTCCCATTATTTTCTTTAGCTACTAAAAACTGGGGATTCAGGCCTGGTGCAGTGGCTCACATTCTGTAATTCCAGCACTTTGGAAGGCCAAGACGGGTAGATCACCTGAGGTCAAGAGTTCAAGACAAGTCTGAACAACATGGTGAAACCCTGTCTCTACTAAAAATACAAAAATTAGCCAGGTGTGGTGGTGGGCACCTGTAATCCCAGCTACTCAGGAGGCTGAGACAGGAGAATTGCTTGAACCCAGAAGGCAGAGGTTGCAGTGAACTGAGATGCTGCCACTACACTCCAGCCTGGTAACAGAGCGAGACTCTGTCTCAAAAAATAAAAAACAAAAAATAACTGGGGACTGGCAGAGAGTAGTCTTGACTTTCTGGTGGAAAGAACTTTGACTTGAATATCTGTGAACACAAAAACTATTAGGAAATTCCTAATTGCCTCCCATATTTGTTATTTTACTTACCAATTGCTTTTCCACTTTCAGCTTATATTGTTGAGCTTCAAATTTTCTCTGAAGGTACTCAGCAGGCCTTAGAAAATAAGAATGCTCAGCTTAAGTAGAAATTTTAATGAATCTCAGGCACCAATTTGACATGTAGATTTTCAGTTTAGCAATGAGATTCACAATTCACCAGTGGCTTGAAGTTCCAAGTCCAAAAAGTAGTCCACAGTTACAGAATGTTTACAATGGAAAAGAAAACTTCGGAATCAAGAGGAAAAAGGATAAAGAATAACAAGTGAGTATATAGGAGGGGATTAAACAGAAAAATATTGTTATCCAGTGATTTTTCTTCAGGGCAAGATTCAGTCCTTCCATACGCTGTGGGGAGGAAAACAAATCTATACCCAGAAGTTCTAATGCTTTGTGTAGGTGTCTAATACACAGGTTGTCACTCCTGATTTAACAATGGCTGCATATGTTTCCTGCACCACACACTGAGCTCCCTGAGAGCAGAATGTGTCCCTCCATCCCTTTATCTCTGCACATAAATGCTTAATGAAAAAGGAAATCATGATTTAGCTGTCTCTTCAAATGTTTAAGGTATTTTCCCAGCACAATTTTAATTTTAGTTAAACGATTTTCAAGTTGTATACTCATATTTTATATTTCTTTTTTTTTTTTTTTTTTTTTGCAAAATTTCCTGCAAAACATTTCTGTAATTACTGGTCGCTAACTAAAAACTGCATTTCAGATAATAAGCTTTTTGGAATATGAGTATCTTCTATGGCTCCAAAGACAGAACTGTCATTTCAGAAATAATTCCTTTAGGAAGGAACATCATGATAAGCATCCCCAATTTATGAAGAGGCAAGTAAATAATCAGGGGTTTAGAAATAGGATGAAATGACAAGCTAGTTAAAGTCTTTGAGTCTTAGTTCCTCAGCTGTAAAGTGGGCACGGTACCATTTCAAGGAATTGATATGAGGATTAGAAGAGATTGGGGCTGTGAAGTGCCTGACACACAGGTAGTTCCTGAATCAAATGAGGGTAAATTGTAGCACTCATCTGTCTCAAAAGCCTAACTGGCACGGGTATCAATATCTTCATAAGAAAAATGATTCAGACACCCAGGGACTGTCCAAAATCCAAAAGACATTCTCTCTCTGTCTACCCCCTCTCTACCGCCCACCCCCCCCAAATCCTGTAGAAATTTCTCTTCCTCCATCCCATGGCCTGGAATTGGATCTCCAGCAGAGAGAAGGCTGAGGCCCGGGGAGCATACAAAGAAGAGGGGTTACCAGGCATTGAAGGGGCATCCAGGAAAGAGACGGACCTTCCTGCTGTCTCATGTAAGAGCCTGGGAGATAAAATCAGACGTGGTCAAAATAATTGATAGCTTGACAGCTCTCAAATCTAGGCAACGAGTGGAAGATAATTTTCCCAGTGGTTGAGAAAAGGGAAAGGGATTTTTGTGGTTGCTCCCAGTTCATCTGTAAAATCTCTGTCCCTCACTAATTGAGTCTAACATGGATATTACAATTTGAACTAATGGAAGACTCAACTTTTGGTAATTGTGGAGATAATTAAAAATGTGTTATGAAGATGGATAAAACCACAACAGTACCCAGTATCTTTAAAGATAAAACATCTGTTTTTCCCATTATATGTTTCTGAAGAAATTACTCTCTTTGCATTCTTGCTTATCTCTTTTTCACTATTAATGAGATTACTACCACAGTCTGTTATATTTTTCATAACTCATCCAAAATTTCAATAATAAATAACCATTGTTGCCAAAGTAACAAATTCTAAACCCTGAACAAAAATAATTTGATGACAAAACATTTTTTAAAAAGAACGCTCAGACTCAGGTCTTCAGGCTTGTGTTAGGTGTCAATTATTCAGGACACAGAAATATTGATATCAGTGTAAAAAAAATTGAAAATATTACAGATCTGCAGAAATCTGTTATGGAGTAAATTTTTTGAAAATCTATCATAAGACCAATTTAAGTATACTATTTTCTTTCTAATATGTCCATATTTTGAGAATCCCTAAAACATAAATGCTGAATGAAATATATTTCTCAAAATGTCTCAAATGATCCTTTGATTCTAATCATTCAATTATTAATTCAAATTAGTAACCTCTTTGGAAAATGGACTATATACTACTCTTTTTTTCACCTGCCATATAGTAGAATTTAGTAAAAGGAAGAAAGAACATTAAAAGGGAAAAATAATGGGTCTGTGCCTACAGTTAATGACTCTATGAAAAAGAAAATAAACTAGAACAGACTTGAAAAAGGGTCAAAGGAAAAAGAAGATAGTTTATCAATTACTTATCAATTGTGATAATCTAGTAACACATTTATTACTTTATTCAATTACAAGGCTTTGTTACTTCTGTTACTTCTTTGTTACTTCTAAATTATCACATAGATTATATAATTATAACACTTCTCACAGTATACATAATTCCTACGTAATTTGTAAGAGCGTTTAATTGTTATATGCTTGAGATGTCAACAGATTTGATTTGTGTAATATATATGACATTCTGATGGAAACAAAAACAAAATCTTTCTAAAAAAAAAAAAAAGAAGGGCTGGACATAGTGGTTCATGCCTATAGTCCCAGCACTTTAGGAGGCCAAGGCGGGTAGGTCACATGAGCTAAGTGACTGCCTGGTGAGAAAGTGCCTGAGAATTTGAAGAACAAATGAACAAGCAGGTGTGGGGCTGACCTAGAAAGAGGGCACTAACATGGCCAGGCGCGGTGGCTCGTGCCTGTAATCCCAGCACTTTGGGAGGCCGAGGTGGGTGGATCACCTGAGGCCAGGAGTTTGAGATCAGCTTGGTCAACACAGTGAAACCCTGTCTCTACTAAAAATACAAAAATCAGCCAGGCATGGGGGCGCATGCCTGTAGTCCCAGCTACCGGGGAGGCCGAGGCACGAGAATTGCTTGAACATGGAAGGCGGAGGTTGCAGTGAGCTGAGATCATGCCACCACACTCCAGCCTAGGCA